AAATCTATATGTAGTCTAGGTAGACAAATTTTTTATTTCACCGGTGAAAATGGGAGAATTAAGGAGTATTACCCTATTTAACATGTCTTTTACTAGTTTAAACAGCAAAAAAAAAAAAAAAAAAAAAAACAAAAACAAAAACAAAAAACAAAAATAAAATAAAATAAAATTTAGTGACCATTTAAACAACAGGATAAAGTTTATTGGTTTTAAATGACATTAACCCTTCTTTATTGAAAAATAATTATGAATTTAATAGTAAATAATGTAGAAAACATAGAAAACAAAAATATTAAATCTATATATAAAATAACAGTTTATTACCCTCGTTTACTATAAAAATATTATAAAAAATTGTAAAAAATAAACGTGTCAAAAACAGTAAACATTATAAAAATAAAAATATTAAAAAGTATTGTAAAAAAATAAAAAATATTAATGCAAACTCACTAAACATATTAAAGCAAAAATAATCCAGATTTCACTACTAAATTGAGCTAGCCGCAGTCCTAGCAAGCTAGCACATGAATAACATGATATGGACCAAGTCTTGGAAGGAGCAGGCCCAAATATTGAGGAGTCTGATAACCCAACCTAGGAAGAGTCAAGACTCTGTTTCTTTTTTTTTTTTTTTCTTTTTTTTTTTTTTTAATTATTTTTTTTTATCTATTAAAATTATAATAATTGTTATTATTATTATTATACCATTCGATTTAATTTTGTTTGATACATTTATAATATATATTTAATGAGATAGTTAAAAAAAGATATATAGAATGATAATAGTTATCCTAATTTTGATAAATACAAATATTTATAAATATAAAAAAAAGAGACTATAATTTAAATATATATCAAAGTAATCACACCCAATCTACTCTTGCTCAACCATTGTCATAAGTAAAAATGTTTACGTTTTTTTAAGGAAAATCCAAACTAACCATATTTTTATTCAGTTTTTAAAAAGTAATTAAAAAGTTTAAGATTTTCAAAAATAATCACTTTCACTTGATTCACATTTTGAACTTGTTTTGAAATTTAGGATTTCATGGTTTTCTTTTTACAATTTTTTTTTTCCAAAAAACATTTAAGTATCTGTGAATGCTTGTTTCAAAATATTTATTATTCACTTTCACTTGAACTCACATTTCAAACTTGTTTTGAAATTTCGGATTTCATGGTTTTGTTTTTCCAATTTTTTTTTTTTTCAAAAAAACATTTAAGTTTGTTTCGAATACTCATTTCAAAAAACATTTAAGACTGTCCCGAATGCTCGTTTCAAAAAATTTAATATTGTCATTTTTCAATAAGATGTATATATTTTAACCTCATATATTGTTTATATTTATCATTTGCAATCTTGTTTTTACTGTTTGTTAAGTTATAATAAAACCGAAAGAGTTTTTTATAATTCTTAATTAATTCATTGGATTTCAGTATTGTTTTTAAATTTCAATATATATATATATATATATATATATATATATATATATATATATATATATATATATATATATATATATATATATATATATATATATATATATATATATATATATATATATATATATATATATATATATATATATATCATATGAAATATCTTTTATGGTGTCCATAATGACCTATTAATTTTGAAAAAAAAAGGTTTATTTTCATTAATATTAACTTACAATAGTTATTTATTTATTTATTTATTTTACATCTTCATAGTGTTAATCGGTTCCGAATTATTGATTCGATGTTTTATGGGGAACACTCCCCTGAAAATTGTTAATGTTTAATTGTGATGATATCTTTCTATTTCTTTTTTTATATGTTTATCTATTTATATAAAATAATGATGTGTATGAAATCCATTAATTTTCCTTCTTAATTTCTTTTTTTTAAATTCTAACATTTGTTTTTGATTTCACGTTTTTCTTACAGGTTTATTCCAAAATTGAGTTGGCGTTATAACTGTTCTTTGTTTACTAGTGGATGTTATTAGAAAGGAAAGAAAATCTATGATTGATCACAGGGAAATCTCTAGAAAAGTTTTAAAATTTTAGTCCAATTTATGAAAATGTTCAAAACTAAATTTTATTTACAGAAAAACATAAAATACCGGTTAAAACGTCGAAAAAAAACTCTTTTCGGTCGATTTCACATATTTTGTTAGTATTCTATCTTTTTTCGTTAGTTTGCTCAAAATTTTAGGATTTTTCCAAAAATTACGTAATAACCAAAATATTGAGATTTTTATTAAAACACAAAATTTGTCAATATTCAATCTTTTTTCATTAATTTGCTCAAAATTTTAGGATTTTTCCAAAAATTATGTAATAACCAAAATATTGAGATTTTTTTTTTTTAAATTACTATGAAATTAATGGATATTATTATTAACAAATCATTTATAAACATAAAAAGCATTTTTATTATAAAAAATGAAATACATTTGTTGCTAATTTCTATGAATAAATTGATGGTTTAAATACTCTATTGTTTCCTCACATCTAAAACTCTCTACGTTCTTCATATACAATGTTGTGAGTATGATGGTGACATGAACTTAGTTAGCATTCCTCTAATGCTGGTGTTCCTCTTATGTTGTTTAACCTAACTACAAACCAACATTTATACCTTACATGTTAACAACCATTGGTTAACACACATCTATAAAATGTAAAAAGTGAATCGTGAATGATAATTTATATGAAACAAGTGAAGGGTTATTATCTATTTAAATTGTCATTCAAAGTTTACTTTTCACTCTCGATAGATGTGTATAATTTTATGATGGTTACCAAGTAATATTTGGAGGTTAGGTGGTAGTTAGCTTAAAGAACATAATTAAAGATCTATATATTCGTGTAATGATATTTTCTAATAACACGTGATCATATAGCATCATGTCTAATAGCGAATAGACACTTATTGATTGTGTATTAATAAATATTATCAACTCTTATATTGGTCACGCCTAACAGAGTACTTCTCACTATGTCACCCACAACGATATATAAGAAGAACATAGAGACTTTGAAGTGGTCAACAAATAATAGAGAAGTACATAATCGACCATTCTATTCCTAGAAATTTTCAACAAATGTATTTCCATTGTTTATAATAAAAAAATTTATGTTTATAAATGATTTGTTAATAATAATATCCATTAATTCCATAGTAATTTTCAAAAAAATCTCAATATTTTGATTATCGGGTAATTTTCAGAAAAGTCTTAATATTTTGAGCAAACTAACGAAATAGGACAGAATACCAGATAAATCTACGAAACTGGCCAAAAGGGTTTTTTTCGAAGTTTTAGCCAGTATTCTGTGCTTTTCTGTAAACAAAAATTAATTCGGGATTTTTTTCATAAATTAGATTAAAATTTTAAAACTTTTCTGGAAATTTCCCTTGGTCAAACTCGTAACTTGGTTTGATATTTTTGCAAATCAAAAAATAACTTATATTCTCATATGATTTTTTTTTATTTATAAAAACCACTTTAAAAAAAGAAAACATGTGTCCTAATGGTACAAATAAGAAACATTAACTTAAGTATTCATAGTAAAAAAAAAAATCATCATCATTAAATGTGATAAACATTAATTATTCGTAATATTATCATAATTAAATATAAATTACATTAGTTATAAAGAATATTATTTAGGGATTTTTTAATGTGTGCCTAACAATACATATAATAACATTAATTTAAGTATTAATTATAAAAAAATATTATCATAATTAAATGTAATAACATTACTAATGCGTAATATTATCATAATTAAATATAAAATACATTAATTACAAAGAATATTATTTATAATTAATATTATCATATTTAATTATGATAATATTCTTTATAATTAATATTTCAATTAATAATTCTTAGACACATATTATAAAAATCCCTTAAGAAAAAATATATATAATTATTATTTTATATCTAATACACGTAAATTATGTGATATTTCAATTTCTATTAGGTAGATTTGAAATAAATTTCTTAAAAGATTAGGAAGGGATGTAACTTGTAAGTATCTATCCAACGAATTATATATTTTATCAAAATTTTAAACAACAAACAAATATGTATCTTTCATTAAAATTTGTAATCATATTTGTATGGAAAAAAATTGATTTTCAAAATTAACAATAACTCTATCTCTTTTAATAAATGAAATCTAAAAATAACATGTATCACTTTTTTAGAATGTTTTTTTGATACGTGATATTTTTCTATGATTTTTGTTATTTTTTTTTGTAACAAATCAAATTCAATTCAAATTTTGAAAACACAAAATCTTATCCTCATAATATTATTATGTTTATTTTGCTTAACAAATTAATTCATAATTACTTACAATCGACAAAATCTTGATTTTTTTACATTTATTATTTTTTATTTATATAGAAATTTTAAATATACCGACCGTGGTTTTCATAGGTTATAACCTACTTATATAATAAATTAAAACGTGACTCTAATTAATTAAAAAATATCATTCTGTTATATACCCGTGTTGCTTAAATCCTTCTTAATAAATAAAGGTTTTTTTGCTACATGTCAATTCTTCATGAGTGTTCACACTTGTTATTTTATAGTATTTTTAAAATAAATATTATCCACTTGTTAGTTTTTGATTTGTTTTATTTTTTAAAATCAAAGACATGTACTTATATATGTAAAGTATTAAATATTATATATATGATATTAAATTGCAATAAATACGTTTTTTCTTTTCTTATTTTAAAGTTATACATTAAAAAATATTTTATGTTTACACTTTTATTTAATATTTAATTTTTTTTTAAATCAAATCCGTATAATACACAGGTTTTACACCTAATAAATAATAAGAGACAAAGTAACTAGAAATTAAAACAGCCAAATTTGTCACCTTACTTGTTAAAATAAAATATATCAAAAAAATAAATTTAAATTTAACATCCTTTTGGATATAACATATTAAAGAATTTAACAAAAATAGTGAAACAGTAGAAGCGTGGTTTAAAGTTCCAGAATCCAGAGTAGAGATAATTAGTATCCCTCGGCCCCATCCCATCCCATCTCATCCTCACATCATTTCACCGATAGTGCAACGCAATCACACCCACGGCGATTTCTTCCCCATTCCCCCTAACTTTATAACACTGTCAATCCATTAAAGAATCCCACCATCTCCATTCTCCCCTCTGTATTAGTATCACCTCCCTCATTCATCCCGTTTTTGCACTTAATGCCACCCCCAATTACCAATGATGGCTTCTCTTTCCCTAACTCTGCATTTCTTATCTATAACGTCGTCTCTTCTTGAAAACCCAGATCAAGTTCAAGGTAACGCTTTTTCTCGCTGTAATTCAATCTTTCTCCTGCTGGGTTTCTGTTAGAGGTCTTGAATTTTGGTGGGGACATGTTATTTTTAGCAATTTGAGTTCGGTTTGTGTGTATAAGTTCGTGAATTGGGACTCTGATTTCTGTTTTATTTTATCGAGTCGTATTCTCCTTTTGCCATTATAATTCATACATGATCTTCTGTGTTATTGTTGTTAATCGAAGTTCTTGGTGAATTTGCAGTAGGAGATCTGTTCGTTGCTTGAATTTGTGCTTGTTTTTAAAGATTTTTATTACAATGAACTCTTGAAAAACTTGGTTTTGTGCGATGGGTAATAATGTACTCTTTGGTAGAACATGATATCTCAGTTTCCTGTTTTCATATATTGTTACAAGATTCTTTGAGAAATTATTTATCTTCGGCTATCTGGACTCCACAACACCAACATCTTTTGAAATTGACTGAAGTAACCTCTTTGTGTTTGTTACCTTTTTCTTGATGTGAATGTAAGATTCACTAAAATCAATCAAAGATTCTTGATATTCTTCTCCTTTCAGTCTTTATTTGTTGTATTACCTGTGTGGCTATTATTCAATTATTTTCACAGAAAGGACTTGATTTGTTTTTTCATGGTTATTTTCAATTGGCATGATAAAAATCAATCATTTCCCAAAACCCTTCTGTCATATCATCATTGAAACGTTTCTCCCCACATTATCAACTTGTAATTACCCGTTTGCTTTGCGATTCTTATTAATTAATAATATCAATCTTCTTAGTCAATTAATTCTTTTTTTGTCACGTCTAAAGTCAACCACCACAATTATTCCACACAAACCTTATCGGATATGTTTGGATTACAAACAATCTATGACATTTTGCTTAATTATGCGTTAATCAGTTGACAATTTTACACGATTCTTTAATCATATTCTTTATATTCCTGTCGTCTTCAAAACCAATCTCCACTACCAATAATTAGATACATACGCATAAAAAAGTTCCCACTTGCTATAACAAGTAAGATTCATTCCACAACAAGTGGCGTAAAATCTAAATTGATCCAAATTTGTGTAGCTGGGTCGATCATCTTTCACGAAGCTGTTGACTTTTGTGGGTCAAACTGAAAATGGGGTGTTGTATCTCAACAAGTAGTCATAGTACCTGTAGTAGCATGAGCGAAGGAGAAGTTGTCACCATGTGTGGTGTCCAAAAACGAACAAGAACAACATCTTCATACCACATGAACACCTTACAACAAATGACGTCTATACCCAACAGGATTTTTACAAATGGGAAGAGCCAAAGTTCTTGTATATATACACAACAAGGGCGTAAAGGTGTAAACCAAGATGCCATGATTGTTTGGGAAGTAAGTATTCTGAAACTTGTTAAAATAAATATCGTTAAGTAATGTATTAATGTGTGTGTTGATAAAATTTTCAGGATTTCATGGAAGAAGGTTTGACTTTCTGTGGAGTCTTCGATGGCCATGGACCTCAAGGGCATCTGGTTGCGCGTAAAGTTCGTGACACTTTACCATTGAAGTTATATTCTTTTCTTGATTCTCATGAGTCAAAGAAAAAAAAGTCAACCGGTTCTAATTGTTGCAGTCGGAATTCTATTTCTAGATCAGATTGTGATGAGGGAATAGAGGATAAAGATAAAGTTGACTCATTATGGAAAGAAGCATTTTTGAAATCGTATAAATCAATGGATAAAGAATTACGATCTCATCCTAGTTTGGATTGCTTCTGTAGTGGTAGCACAGCTGTCACCATTGTAAAACAGGTATATATATATATATATATATATATATATATATATATATATATATATATATATATATATATATATATATTTAACAAAATTAAATTTTGAATCTTTAAAATTCGAATCTAATCGTATCTTTTTTTTTTTTTTTTTTTTTTTTAAATTCAAGGGGTCAAATCTTTTCATGGGAAGTATAGGAGATTCACGCGCGATCATGGCTTCAAACGATAGTAACAATTCGCTTGTAGCAATTCAGTTGACCGTTGACTTGAAGCCCGATTTACCAAGTAAGATTTTGAAATACTTTCGATTTTGGTAACTTGTGTTTAATATTACGATATTGCCGTTGATTTTATAGGAGAAGCTGAAAGGATTAAACGATGTAAAGGTCGCGTTTTTGCATTGCAAGATGAACCTGAAGTGTCGCGAGTTTGGTTGCCATTTGATGATGCACCAGGGTTAGCAATGGCGAGAGCATTTGGGGATTTTTGTTTGAAGGAATATGGAGTGATTTCTATTCCTGAATTTTCTCATAGGATTATTACAGAGAAAGATAAGTTCATTGTTCTCGCATCAGATGGGGTATGCGTCGTATTTTTATATTCTTGATTTTTGTGTTTGAGTTTCGATCTGATTATTTAGACTGGATCTGTGGTAGGTTTGGGATGTTTTGAGCAATGAAGAAGTGATTGAGATAGTGTCGTCATCTCCAACTCGGTCAACAGCAGCAAGAACAGTGGTTGACTCAGCTGCTCGTGAGTGGAGAAACAAATACCCGACATCAAGAATGGATGATTGTGCAGTTGTTTGTTTGTTTTTGGATGGAAAGATGGATTCTGAATCGGATTATGAAGAACAAGGAGTGTCTTCTGCTACTTTACAGAGTGATTGCAATCAGTCTGGTAATGTAAATGAATCAGATGATGTTCAGATCTGTGAGCCATCGTTGCAGAGGAACTTTACAGTTAGATCATCAGAAGAGAAGAATGATGAAGTGGGTGTGGTGGTTTGTGATGATCATGGGTGGTCTGGATTGGAAGGAGTCACCCGAGTCAACTCACTGGTGCAGTTGCCAAGATTTTCGGAAGAGACACTAGGAGAATGATTGTTTTTTTTTTTTTTTTTTTTTTGTTCTTTAGTTAACGAATTGCATCTGCTGTATGATGTCTCCTATCTCTTAGAATCTTAAGAAATGTAAAAATGGATCTTCTGAGTTTGTTAGTGTATCCTACTTAGGTGTGATATGATCCAATAAGTGTTTATATATGTTGGAATGTTAGGTTTTCTTTCTTGATGAAAAATCACAAGTATACAAGTATATCAAAGCCTTTAAATATTTGGTAGAAAAAAGAAGTGATCATGCCATCAAAACTTTACATTCGGATAACAGAAAGAATATAATTGTCAGCAATTTGAAAACTTCCTAAAATTTTCCATCAAGGAACCACATGTTACACGTCTCAACAAAATGGCACAACAAAATGGCATTTGAGAAAGAAAAAAATAAAACACTTATGGAGTTTGTGAGAAGGATGCTAAAAGGTAAGAAGTGCCACATAGATTTTGAGGAGAAGTTGTATGTGCGATATATTTGTTAAGTTATGTTGCAACAAGTTTCGAAGACATGGCACCTCTAGAAGCATTGACGTCCTAATCCAATGAAGTGTGCCATCTATATAGCCACATAGAATAGTATTAGGTCTGAACAAAAACTCTTCAAAATTTTTAATGCCTTGGATCGAAGATTCGACCCCATCAAACGGGAAATCTTTCGATGGGATCTGCTTCCCTCGACAAAGGGGGGCCTACACGACTATTCGGAAAGAAATGGCGCACCAAGGAATCCTTGGAGCCACCACTGAAAACCCACTGTCTGGCATGGTGGCCGACCTTGTTGCCGGCAGTAGCTAATACGATTCCGGTGGGTCACAAGCTTCCGGTGGAATAGGGCTGGTCACGAAGGGAAATAATAAAGGGAAGCATGGCTATGACATAGGAGGTTGGGGCATCTATCCACGGGCTACTTGCATTTATTATTTTCTAAACTTTTCCCTTCTAGTAACATTTTAATTTGTGAAACTTATGTTCTTGCTAAAAGTCGTAGACAAACCTTTATACCAAAGAACACTCGTGTGAATTTACCTTTTTCGTTGATTCATTCTGATGTTTGGAGGTCGGCAGAAGTTAACGGGGGGCAAGGTTTCCATTTTTTCCTATTGTAAGTGGATGATTGCACACAAATGACTTGGGTATATTTCCTAAAACACAAATCCAGAGTTTTTAAATTTTTTAACATGCTCCATGCTATTGTTCAAACCCAATACAAAACCAACATTCAAATTATTCGGTCTCATAATAGAGGCGAATTCGTGAATAATTTTACGAAAGAATACGTTCAGTCTAAAAGAATGATTCACCAAACCAATTGCCCAAGACATTTTGAACAAAATGGCTTTGCCAAGTGGAAAAATCAAATTTTACTAGAGACGACTTAGGCTCTTATGCTAGAATCTAATGTACCAAAATCTTTTTGGCCTGAAGCCTTTGCTACCGCTGCTTACCTTATTAACTGACTACCTACCAAAGCACTCAACCTTAAAACCCCGTTGCAAACCCTATCATAATTCACAAAAATACCGCCTATCATTACCCTTGAACCACAAATTTTTGTATGTAACGCCTCGTTCCTGGTATTCATTCAAATTGTATTTTGTTTATTTTGTAGAGCTACTCGACGAGTTGGGAGCCCCAGACTTGTCGAGTTGAAGCGGGCTTAGACGCGGGTTTAAAGACATCTACTCGACTAGTTAAGAGCCCTCAACTCGGCGAGTAGGCCTGCCAGGATGAAACCCTAATTTCGAGGTTTTGCACCTTATTTAATTAACTTAATCCCCACCTTATGGCCTCATCTCCAGCCTCCAAGTCCTAAACCCTAAGCCACGAAACCTTAGAGCATTGTGTGAGTACGTGAGCCATTTTTGAGTGTTTTTGAAAGACCCACACTTTCATATGATTAGGAGGACCCTTTTCAATAGAAACTTATGTTATATTACCTCAAAACATGTTACAAGCATATTCATAAATAATATTTTACATTGATAATTTGATTACAAAAAACTGGATACAAACTGAGTATTACAAAGTGTTATATATTATATAACTACCCATGATACTATAATTTTTATACATACATGTGTACTAAATACAAAAGTAATAGTTTTAAACTATTCAAAATCTTCTATTAGTACATAAATATACTGGATGATTATTACCTGTAATTGTTAAACATTGAGAGGGGTAAGCGGTGATGCTTAGTGAGTTGAATAATAGATACAATATAAAATTATACCATATATATATATATATATATATATATATATACACTTCAATATAGTAGAAGCAAAGAGGAACAAGGAACAACAAAGGCATATGTGAATCATGTGACAGGTTTTCCATATTAATCAATGATTTGATTCAAAGATATACAATCGATAAGACAAAACAATTTCAATACTTAATATACATTAATAAAGCTTCGACCCAAATGGCACAGAAGACATACACTTTCTGATTTAAACATTTTGGTAGGTTTCAAGCTTTCAGCCCTATCTAACCTTTAACCAATGCCATAGGGGTAGAAGTCATTCTCTTGCGTGACATGCTCTACACAGCAAGAGGCTACATACCAATACCACTTTGAATCTAAGTCCTTTCACTGATCACATGGCCAAAGGTACAACTTTGCTATCAAAAAAGCAAAAATAATACAACGAGATGATAACAAGGAAAAGCACATAACGTTCCTATATATTGAACTCACCATGAAATAATCGGGGATTAAAGTATTAACTTTGGTAGCACTCCGACTCTAAATATGACTTTCTGTGATGAAATTAGGGATTTAGTTGAAAATTGGCATTACTCGGGCAGAGTTTCGACTAGAAAAAATGATTTTCTAGGGAACTTCGGAGTGTTGGTACTTGCCTCGGGTGTCGGGGTTGATACTAGGACTTCGGGGGGTTAAAAGTATGATAAACAAGGATTTTAGAGTAAAAGAGATTTCAAAAATGTAAACTAAATTCGTAGACCTCACACCCCTTTTATAGGTGGCCAAAGCCTCGAAGTACGTTTGGCATACGAGGCGTGGCACCTGCTCAATTTCCGGGTCTCGGACGTGCCATCAACAGGTGATAGGTGTCTTCATGTGAAGGAAGGGCAAAGTGGATGACTCCGAATCAGATACGTACGAAGTACACCGGGCTTAGTCTCGTGTACGCTAGGCATACGACTTCGGACCAACCTCGAAGTTTGTGCCTAAAACTTCAAAAATTCGTATATTTTGCATACGAGTTTCGTTTTTGTTTGTATTTTTACCATTGTACTACTATTGACGAGACCTTTGATCCTCGTTTAGGTTGCGATAGCTAAAAATCACTCGATTTTAATTCGAGTTTTTAGATGTCTACTACTATACCAAATCTTAGAAATATCATAACTTCCTCATACGAAGTCAAAATTTGACATTATTTTTATGAAAGTTCCCGGTTTAACGAATACTACAACTTTCATTTATATCATAAAGGCTAAAAAGTAGTTTATCGAAAACTCACTTTTTATGTCATATGACATCGTGTTGGTTCTGTCGCGAAACTTCAATAGGTCATAACTTCTTCGTTATAACTCAGATTTCGATGAGTTTTTCGCCTAAATGTTTCTAATGATATTCTTTACAACTTTCAATAATATAATTTTACTTATTTTCAACTTTGGATTTTTGTTACTTTCAATAACCAACATTTGATTGGAATCTCATAAGACTTCCAATACTTTCTGAATGATTCTAAACATAGTTATACCTCAATTCTAGTAAAAACTATCAATTAGAACTCAACGCTCAAAATCACATGATATTTCTTAATATTATTCACTTTTAAATTACAAAACACGATAACTGAGCATGTATGTTACAAATACCTCTTCCTTTTGAGGATTTCGTCCCCGAAACTATAATGATTTAAACAAATGGGGATATTTCGCTCTTGTATCATTCTTATTTTCCCAAGTATAATTTGGGCCTCGATGGTGTTTCCATTTGACAAGCACCAACGCAATTCAGTCGTTCTTTCGTTTACGATCTCTTCAGGTTCTTCTACATATCTTAATTTATTATCCAGTTTCACCTCGGATAACACTACCGTTCATCATAAATGCTCAAACATTTACGTAGATAACTCACATGAAACACATCATGAATACCTGCCAAATGTTTAAGTAATTCCAAGCAGCATGCTTGCTTACCAATTCTCTGGATGATTTTGAAGAACCAACAAATCTTGGACTCAACTTTCCTTTCTTCCCAAATCGCATAAGGCCTTTCCATGGGGATACCCCTTTAGCATTAGAAAATCACCCACCTGGAATTCTATGGGTCATATCCTCTTTTCTACATAGGACTTCTATCGATCTTCAGCTGCTTTCATTCTTTCTCGTACGATTTGAATCTTGCCGTTGGTGTCTTGAATCATTTTAGGGTTTCCAAGGATCTTTTGTCCTACATCACGCCAACATAATGGCGTATGGCATTTATGCCCATATAGTGCTTCATATGGTGGCATTTTGATTGAAGTGTGGTAACTATTATTATATGAAAATTCAACAAGCGGTAAGTACTTATCCCAGTTACCACCGAATTCCAAGACACATGCACGAAGCATATCTTCTACTATTTAGATTGTTCTCTCCGTTTGACCATCTATCTAGGTATGATAAGTTGTGCTGAGGGTAACTCGAGATCCCAATTCACGTTGCATACTCGCCCAAAAGTGAGAAGTGAAGCGAATATCACGATCGTAAATGATCTTTAGTGGCACACCATGTCTCGCAAAAATTTCATTCAAGTATACTTGTGCGTATTTCTCCATTAGATCCATTTAAGGCATGGTGAGAAAATGTGCACTCTTAGTCAGGCAGTCGATGATTACCCAAATGCTATCATGCTGTTTAGCAGTCTTTGGCAATTTGGTGATAAAATCCATGGACAATTCTTCCCATTTCCACACAGGAACACTAAGACTTTCTGGAGTACCGTAAGGCTTTTGGTGCCTGCTTTAACTTGTAATCATACTAAACATTCCTGC